CCCCATCACCGCATCTCTCATCGACGCCAGCTGGACCGTCATCCGAAACCCAGCCCCGGCCCATCATCGTCGAACCCGTCTGAACCGGACACTTCTGTATCAACTGGATCCTTCGGCATGTGGCGCCTGCAAGTCACCAGAGCTAGCACGCGCGGGGAGCCCACAAGCGACGATCAGATCGACGTTAACTTGGTTCCCGCCGATCTGCAAGTCACCATGAACGACCGCGGTCGAGCCCATGCTGCAACGGGCCGCGTGGAGCCATCCGGTCTTTCCTTCACTCAGCTGGCTGAGATACCCGATCAAGCCCACTTCCCATGCGCTGGCGATACTGAGGATTTCACCCACGTGGCGGAAGACCCCTTCACGGTGCCGCGTGCTCACGCCTACCTCACGACCACTCGCGACCACCACGGGATCTTGGAGGAGACGAATCAAGCGATCGAAATCCCCAACACCTACGACGAAGCCATGAGCTCTCCCCAGCGCGAAGAATGGAAAGGTGCGTGCAGCAAGGAAATGGACAATCTGCGGAAACACAACGTCTACAATCTGGTGCCTCTCAGTAGCGTTCCCTAGGGAGAGAATATCCTCGCAACGGAATTCGTCAAGAAAAAGCTGGACGGTTGCTTCAAAGCTCGTCTAGTAGTCGGATGTCTTCAAGAGCCAGGACAGGATCACGGACGCAGCTGCGCCCCAATATGCCGTATCGGGAGCATCCGCATGACGTGCGCCATTGGCTGCCACAACAACTGACCCATCTACCAACTGGACGTTGTCGGTGCCTTCCTAAACGTCATCTGCGAAAGGAACGTGTACGTCAGACCCGCCCCCGGGACATCCGCCAAGAACTCCGCGAAAGGAGAACTCATGATGTGCAAACTAGAATGGAGCCTCGACGGCCTATCGCAGTCCCCAGCCTTCTGGAACGACACCCTGGACGAGTCTCTCACGGTGTTCGGATGAAAAAGGACTCAATCTGACCCCTGCGTTTACGTGAATACCAGCGGCAACATCATCGTGATTCTCAAGGTCTACGTGGACGACATTCCCATCACGGGAAGAGACCAGCAGCTCGTGGACCAGAAGAAGGAGCTCAAGGTATTAATTATCGATACGATGCCAACGGAGGGGTCGAATTAGAAATGGATATGGTGATGCGGTTGACCATTCATCGTGAATTAGTAGCTTGATCGAGGGGTCTCGTCAGGAAAATTGTGCGCCGAGACCACCAGTAGTCGGACACGGTTTGACCTTTGAATACGATTGCAGCAACTAGTCTGCGTAGCAGTAGAAAAGAATCTATCTCTCCGTTGCATGTATTATTCTCTTGTTCTAGAAATATTCCGGAAGCATGCTAGGTCAAGGTCGACCGGGACATCTACGTAGAAAGTGTAGCTTCTGGAAACCTACTGGAAGCGTCCTCGACCTAGGTTGCACTTGATACTTTTTCAGAACGTAGGAGGGCTTCCAGCATCATTGTGGAAGCATTCTAGATCTTTCGTGTGATTGGCTTATTTGTCGGGTATTCGAGGAGAGTGGTGCAGCCCTAAGCTCGATACCCCTTTCACTCCTCTTGCGTACCAGCAACATTAATCTGACTCGGGAGTCACCAATTAATAAAAACATCTTCATATTTCCATTCCAAGTCTCTCGCTGTTGGAGCCGCACAGAGTGTGAACTTCCGAGGTAGGCTACACAGCCTCCTGGCATCTGCAGCATCGTACTGCTGCTAGTACACAAGTGAAATTACGCTGACACCCGAAACGCAAGCGAGAGTAATCGACGACGGTGAAAAGGGAGAGAAAAATGAAGACGACGAAGAAGTTGGAAAGCTGAGGAGAATTTGTTCCAGTGCGCGGGTAATGTGTTGTGAGAACGCACGGGTGCCTGTATGTGAAGGCGATGAAGGCTGGCCCAAAAATATCCTACTGAACTGTAAGAACCATCCGATGAGGGCGTGAAGGCTTTAGAATCCTAAAAAATTATGCAGAAAAAGATACCAAAGAACACCACCGCGAAGATGACGGAAATATTTACGCCGCGAGTAGTGCCGCAACGTTGAAAGGGTTGCTTGCCGCTAACGCCCTGGTGAGTGGCGGTGAACGTAATGGTGATACGCGGCAACCAAAGTACAGTTGAAGAATGTGTGGCTTGATGTTGAGAAACATCTTCCCCATCGTTCGTACGTGGCTGGACGTCGAGTAACATCTTTCCCATCGTTCGTACGGCGGTTAGACAAGTAACGGCACAAATGACACAACTCCATTATTGGGGTTCCGCTGAGCTATGTTGCGGCTTGCGTACAGGATTGGCTGAGAGTAAATGGGCGTCAGTGTTGGCTATGGCGTTCGTCGAAGCAAGTTGATGACTGCGAAATGTAGCTGTTGTAGGCACTTCACGAGAACGGAAATGCGAGGCACGGCGTATGGCGTGATGGCTGCGGTCGGTGCCGTACTGCTGTTGACACATTGCAGGGGAAGGCAAGTCCACTCCGCGACAGCAGCAGTCCTGCAAGCGATATGTGTGCATCTTCACGGCTTGACCGCCTTCCGTACCCGATTGAACGGCGATATGTGGAACTGTGTGGTGACCTCTGCGGTTTACGTTGCGGAGCCATAGCAGTTCTCTGTACTGCCAATCTGCCAGTCGCGTGCTCCTGTGCCTTGGTGCTGGTGGTGTGCATAGGCGGCTGTCACGCATGTTTTCACGGCTTGACCAAGCCCCAAAACTCGTGAACTCGCCAAGGCGCGCGACCTAACCCCCGAACCCTAATAACACATATGAGAGGTGCTTGAAAAAATGTCCACACTGATCTGCCGTGTACACACGCCACAATAGATAAATGTGTGTGCTGCACAGCGGCAATATATGAAACCGTTGGTTGCCGCTCGGTGCACGTTGTCGTGCCCTGCTCAAGATACCGCGTGTTTGCCTAGAGTTCCTTACCACACTCATCCATCACGACCAACCGTTGCTCAAGTGTGAGGGTGCTTATTCCGTTGGTCACACATTTTGGCGGTCGGGGGCAGCCTAAGGCTGTCGTATCCAGTCTCACACAAGGTGTGTGCAGCGTGCGCAAGAAAAATAAAATCGAAAAAAAAAATCTTCTCTATCTAGTAGTACGATGGAATGAATCCTTTGAGTATTTAACTTGGGGTGATATACAGCATGATGACATGGGGTGATATACAGCATGATGACACCTTTTCGTCTTCACAGCCAACGCTCAGAACGCTAGGCATCTTCGCCGCCTGTGCATACAAGTGTACGTCAACGCACACGCACGACCAAGTCGATATCCATGGCAGTAGACCCCTGATGTGTGATTCGGTCTCGCGTGCGTCTCGGGTTATGTGATGTGGTCCCGCGAGCTGCCGCAGGCTGGACTGCCGGGGGCGGGACTGTCACAACGGTAACAACCGGCATCTTGAACACCAGTCATGTGCAGGACAATACTTGGAACTTAGGTCGTGCGTCATCAACCATTGTATCATAAGACTAGAACCAAACATTATTCTTGTACCCAAACAGCGAGACAAACAATTTTTGATTTCCGGTTTGAGCAGGTATGATCGACGACAGTTCGTATTTGATGGTTTACAACGACGTTGCCATTTACTCAAAGCCGTAGTGACAACGGAGATGTGCACACTCACACGACAACACACGTTTATCGTTAAAATCGGCTTTTCGTCAAGAAGACAGATTTGTGCGACCGTTAGTCCATGATTTATGCAGGTACATTCGATATCCGTTTTTGGGGGGGAAGTTTGATCAGCACCCTACCTATGTCCGAAACCGCTCTGCCAACACTAAATGTAGCAGTTCTATATAACGGCCTACCGAGGTCGTCTCCTGCGAAGCAAGCGGAAGTCGTAGTTCTGAAACGAGAGTCCATCGCTCTCCGACGGATCTGGCACCCTGCGCTCTTCTGCGGCAAGGCATCTTGCGCCATTTTCTGTAACTGGCTGGGGTAGCGTGCTCCTCGACAATCAAGCAGCCGGCTTTTTGCGCCCTACTTCGACTAATTCACGTTCGCATGCGCCGTTTATGTGCTTTAGGCTTCCGTCGTTCATTCTTTCCTTCACGAACGCCTACTACATAGCTCTTCGGCTTTTTCACGTTTGGTTTACGGCAAGTTGCCGTCCTTTCCGCAGCTAGTGCGTGTCAACCGTTGAACGTTGAAACTTCTCTGTATTATTACACTGAATATTCTGACTTTCTGGGTTCACCTTCCGGGGCATCTTCACGTTTTCTCCACTGCAAGTTGGCCTCAAGGCTTTTGCTATTCAATTTTCCGGCTTTCTTTGTACTCCACGTCGTGTTCTTTTCTCCGCATCGTGTGGCCTTAGCCCTCCGTCCTCTGTTTGGGGTTTAGTTTTCATCGGAGTTTAATATTCACGATACATGGATCCTGCCGCCATCCGAACGCCTTCACCACCAAGTGGTCACGTCTGCCAACACTGACGCTAGCGCATGGGTCTCACTATCATGCCTTTTCGTGTGGCAAATGACACAGACCATCCGCCTCTGCCAGCCCCGTCTCGTCTGGACGTACTACATATCCAATCTGTCTTCCTTGACGATGTTGTAAGATACGCACCTCGTGAAGCTCCCAACGTACCAGCAATTCGCCCTCAACTGCAACCGCAGAACAGCGGCTGTGGTGCGCAGTGGTTGGCATATGTGGCCGAGGTCAGGTAGCTGAAACACAGAGTGGATTCTATCCACACCCAGACGCCCGACCTGTCTTGACCTGACGGTTACAGGCTTGTCAACGCCTTGACAGTACCGCATCAGACTCAACGCAGTCCAACACAGTGGTTCCTCTACTACATGCAATTCCGACGAAACGCAGCAATACAAATGCTGCGGCCCATCTACTCGTAAATTAGTTGAATTGCATTTTTAGTGTTGTTTATCGGAGTGTAAGCAACACGTCCATACGACGCCACAATTTCGTTCCTCTGTTCGTGCTGTTTGGTTCTCTGGCGCAGGTTCGTGTGTAGCTGGGGGGGGCAAGAGGATCAACTCGTGCAAGGAAGCCTTCAATTCTTCTGCGGTCATCATGGGATACGCGGAACTTATGAGGCAAGTACTACTGCTGATGTTCGATGCCTAATACGAACATCACATGTGCAACGAAACGAAGTGAGGCGAACCCTGGCTGCTGGTTAATCTGGACTTCGTTAACAGGTCATGATATGCACTGTGTCCATGGTTTGAAACATCTACGCATTAGCATGGCAACAACGTAGGGGTCCAACGATACGTCACACATGGAGGAGCCGCGACTATCGATTCGTTGTTTGCTGCCCATTTCATTTAGATAGACATGCTGAACATGGTTCTTGTTTTGGCCTTGAGGAGAACCGTCTGTCCTCCTTGAGTTCCGTGACATCCGTCTTCCGAATCTTGATCGTAAAAGCCAGCTTTCTGCGAACCGTTTGAATTTTGATGGATGACACTACGTGGGAGACAATTCAACCGATCGACCAGCTTAGGGCGACATCAAACCGACCGCGTGATGTAGCCGCGCCTGTTTCTTTGTGAACGGTGTTGAGAGTACGGATACATGTCCCCCCCCCAACGCGCAAAGAAGATCCTTCCCCAAACCGGAAGGGAAGAAGGTATCAGCTTAACGATGATGGAAATAGACCTCCAAGCAAACGACGCCACCTGTACGCCGAGAAGCTTGCCTGGGTTGACCAGTGCTCCCTCGTGGTCAGGACGGTTTTACGTTACGAAACTACCTGTTCCTCATGCTGCCAAGCGAGTGTGTCCCACGGCCTCTCTTCCGCTAACGTTGCGATTATTCTCCCACCAGTACGTACGCATGATGAGCAATCATGCCCATTCGGTTGCGTTCTCTCTTCCTCGTCTTAGAGGCCCGTTGGAGGCTGTTCGAAGGGACTGCGAGTACTTCACGCTTTTGAGACACCCCGTCGATCGCCTGGTCTCGGCATTTTTCTACTGCCCAACAGACCACGATCTGCAATTGAGGCCTCCCAAGGTATGTGTATGCAACACTTCCCACCGATGTGTTGGCTCAGACTGGTAGCTGAAAATACCGCTACACTTGCGAACGGGATGCATCCTGTGTGATGCAATAGGGTCACCGTTCGGAGCATAACATATTGTATGTCCGCATTGAAGGTGTTTTGATAGTGTCAAGTGTGCGGTTGCAACATTCACCCTGTGAGGGGTGACTAATGCTCAAGCACGCTGGCCACGCGCGTACTCGACACATTGCCAGTGGTGCGGGTACGCCGACGACCCGTTGCCGGCGACCGATCGCCTGTTGGAGTTCGCCCAGCAGCACTGGAAGAACATGGCATACAAGCAGATGACGTTCGGCATGTACTGTCCCCATGGTCTCATCTGTGAAGCGACGGAGGTAAGAATGACCGGGGATGGGGCCGTGACCATACCCAAATATTTGGTGAATTTGTCTCGGGTGTTTGGTTTGTTGAAAGGGATACACAAGGTAATACCAAATGCGGGCCGGTTGTTTCTGTCAATCCCGAAACGTGTGGAGTCTGGCACCAATTACGGGTTGGGCAATCCGTTCTCCCGGAGACCGGGTACACGCAGGAACCTCGGAGCGTGTCGAAAATCACCGCCAGGTTACCGCTGTGTGCGCAGTATGCACTCGTGAGGTATCGGTCGGAAAAGGTGGTTTGCGCCACAGAACATCAAGACCAAGCCAGCGGCTTCGCTCAAGGTTGACCCGAGATGGCGATACGAGAATACCGTTAACCCTTACCTAAGCACACCGGGTGACTTTCCGTGAAAGCGTTCCACACTGTTAGCCCACGTGGTGAGGCCTTTTCACGAGTTTCGCACCATATAGTCCAAGGAACTACTCGGAAGGAAATGTGTCGGGTTTTTTATTTTTAAACCCCTACTTGGTGTGTTCTTGTGCGACCCTTTGAGTGAACGTTGTCGCAGAACCTTTGAGAACTTTCAGCAGCTACATAACCTGGCGTTTCGCTTGGGTTATTTACAGCCTATGAACATTCGATCATGCGTGATTAGGTACCCGATAAAGGCTGCACGGACGGGTTGCCGTACGCGATGAACACACGAATAGGCGACGCCCACGGGACGACGGTTGGCGTTGTTGATGATGGCTTGCGAAAGAGCGAGCGTCATTCGCTGAAAGGGTCGCTGAACGCCCTTGCGTGAAACAGCTCAACTATTCCAGATTTTCGTCGAATAAATGTGATACGTATCCACGAAAGTCCGTGCTTACACGAACCTCGCTGGTTTACAAACTACTCTTCTGTGGGTTTGGGAGCTTCAAAGAGGTAGATTGTCGTGAGCTACGCACATCAATATTCGGGAAAGGGGACAGGAGAATGTGTGAGAGTGAGGTGTTTGACCACCAATGCACATTGTGAATCAATTGTGGAAAACAATTTCCTTAGGAATTGGGCGTCGACGACGGACGAGAAGACAATGGTTGGCATGGGTCTGCCTGCCGTTCGGCGAGAGTGTAGAATGCAGGTGATGGTGTCCATGCCGTCGAGAACGCTGTAGGTCTCTCTACATTTGACGAAGATGGGAGAGACGAGTGACCGTGGTGAACGCATTGGTTCTTAGCACACACTTTTGGGCGATCGCGATGGGGTGGTTTTCGTGGTAGCTCGTCCCGGCTAGTTGTCGATTCGGTTTGATGGCACCCGCGGGCGGCATCGTCGTATGAAGTGAAGCTATTGCCGTTTGCCGAACACCCCAACGAGACGGTTTCACTGTTCAAGAAGCCGAAGACGCGAATGTTTTGAGTGCTCGACGGAGAACGTACCTATTGTAGGTAAATAAGAATGATGCTCGGGGCCCTCTTGCCTCCCCACGTCTCTCTTAAAGCAAAAATGTTCTTGAATCAACCTTCTTTCCTTCGGCCTCTGATAAAGCTGCCGCAACCACACACGGTGGATCATATCGCCTACGGTTGACGTCTGAGCTGTGGGAGTCGGGCTAATGGGGCGACGAAAACGATTAGCAAAGCGGTGCCGGAAGTGACCGACGGGGACGGGAAAGGACAGCGGTGGGAAAAGTATAGCTCGGGCCACGGCGGCTGACAAGGCTAACGCGAAGAGGCTTAAGCAGGAGCAGCAACAACAAGAACAGCGATGGAGTGTCCTAATCCCAGTGTGTGTTGCCCAGCAGAGCAGCAGCATCAGCAGAATCTGCCGCGGCAGCGGCAAGTACAACATCGTCCACAGCAGCGACGGAGTGTCCAATCCCATCGTGGCTGTGGTGTTCATCATGCTCACCAACAGCCACCACAGCGGATGCGACGGCAGCAAGACCTTCCGCAGTCTTATCTACGAGAACGCGCCAAGCGAATGGGCACCAAGGTGAACGGCACGTAAGAGTACTGCGTGATCAAGGTCATCGCCGCCGCCGCACGACGTGGTCTCTTGAACGTGTTGTCATGGTCTTTATGGGTCCGTACGGTCAATCCTTCGGCGGTGCCCACCACCGGAGGCAGATATTCGACCACCACAGCAACTACGGATGCACTCCTTTGTTACGAGACCACCCTTGTTCGACCGTGGTGGGCGCGTTCCGTTCGTCGTATACCTCCACCAAGCCACATATGGCTCATCCCGGGGGACTGCCGTGTGTTTTGACTGACAACGGCACCGAGTGGAAAAAAAAGATTTTTCGAGGACCGTCGGCGGATTTGAACACTGGGAGAGAACCCAAAGCGGCCTACGGATCCATGAGCAACCGTTGCGCGGAACGAAGGATGGCGCTGGTGACGGAAGGAGGCGAACATTGGGTGGCTGAGGTACGTGAAGCTGTTACCGAGTGTGGCCTTCCCTGCTCGCGCGATTCCTTTCGGGGCCGCCTGGCACGAGGTTTTCGCTTGAATAAAGGACAGTTTGAATTTCGCAGCGGACGCGAGCAAAGAAGACTAGAGGTGCCCTGAGGTCAAGCTATTCGGCCGGAGGAGGATCTGACTGGTCTTGCCGTTTATGATGCCCGGTTTCCGCCACCGTCCCCGTCCATCGAAGATGAAAGCAACGGGGACACGTGCTTCTAACTAAAATCAACCAGCGATCATCTATCTTCGACGAACAAGATCATCACGCGGGCAGGGGGGCGCACGTACTCTGAAGTCTCCGGGGACGGAAGGCCTTGGGGATGAGAGGGAGGGTCATCGGAGCCACTGTGGTGGTGGCGGGAGCGGCAGCATTCGCCTCAGTTCGAGCAGCGAACGGCGGCGACTTCCGACAGTACTGTTTCCGATGACCGGAGAGCCCGCGGGCGGTTAGAACGACGGCAACGGCCGCAGCGGCTCCGACCGCGGCTGCAACGGAGGCCTCGGCGGTGGCTCAGGCGGCGACGTCAGGGGCCTCATGCGGCAGTGATCTACCTGCGGCGGTAGCGAGGATACCGACGGGAGTGCCCACGGGGGCGGCCGGAGCGGTGGTACCATCGACGGCACCAGAAACGACGGCGGCAACCGGCGGTGTCGGTTTTGCCACTATATCATATGGGGGGACCACCGGAGCACCAAGAGAGACATCGGCGGCGGAGGTTGTCGTCGCAGTTCGTGTGAAGGAGACATCGATATGGAGTGGTTCGGTGGTTAGATCCTTGATGTACATTTGGCAGCAGGTGGTGGCGTCTACAACATGTGATAGCGTACATAAGTCATCATCAACTTGTGGTCACGTGTGGAGGCTGAGGTGACGCAGCGATACATGAATCAGGGAAAAAACTAAAATTGAAAATACATGAATTTGCGGTGCAACGGATATCCACCACGGCCATCTCGCCAGTGACGGCAACTCTTGCGCACTATATACGGGAAAAATACTAGCAGATGTGTATTTTCACCAGTAGCCCAAGCGTAGCCAGGTGTGTAGGTTCGTAGCCCGGAAAACGTCGGAGGTTCAATGAATCACTGATTGGTGGTATGTGACTCGGGACCCCCACATACTATTCTCCGACACGGATATTTGGAGAGTTTGGTTTCTGTCCTGCTTGCAGGCGAACAAACAACACGCCGCACAACTTTAAGCCCGTACATAAACCAGTTGATCTCTCTCGATTGGCACGTATCTCGTAACATTCTCATGTTGACGCTCTTTTGATGTTGCTTCCCCGTGGTTGCGGGCAGGTTGAAACAGCGCCAGGTCTGGATGAACCCCATGGTCTAGATGTTCTCCAAAAGGTCGAGGTGAGGAGTGCCAATCCGATATGGTGGCCCTGCTCGCCAGAGGAAAAGAGCGACCACACAGCGCACTTGCCTAGCGAGGGGATTCATCAATTTGTTTCCTACCGCTCACAAGGAAGTCGCGGTAGTCTGAAGACATGCGTATTTCGGGCGAAGAGTGTAGTATAGGTCAGTGCTAGACAGATACATGTGGAATATCGCTCACGTATATAGTCTAGGCATTTATCTCAGCTTTACATTGCGGCTGATACCCATCATGATACTGATCGGGTCTGCTGTGGCCACGAAGCCAATAAATATTTGTTGTTGGCATTTGAAGTTCGACACGTATCGATGCACTAGCCGTAACTGACCCGTAAACACTCTTCTAGTGATGTACCTCACAATGTGTTGTCCTCCCACGGTTTGTTGTGTTCTTTGTTTGAAACCTTCTCGTGTTCGAAACGTTGCTGTCTGGAGGAAATATTGACGCAGTAGTACATTTTCGCGAGTCGAAGGACTTTTCCTGTCTCTGTTTTCTCCTGCCCAAATTTTATTGTTTCCTAGACGCCACTGCGGTGCGGAAAAGGGAGATATTGTAGCTGGGCACGTGTCTCACCATGTCCCATACACAAAATGTAGAAGACAACACGTACGGGTACTCGAACTTAGGTGTATTGTTGTTTTGTTCGATAATCTGGGCGCCTTTCCAATAATCTTGGACATTGATCGACATGAGGCACCAGTGTGTTGGCCCGCTGTAAGATAGATCGACAGTAGTAGTAGCTGATGCCGACTATAATTTCACACCTTTCAGATTCATACATCTCGTCGAGTATTTTTGTTATCCCGGGAGAAAGGAAATTCCTCCGGTAGGTGGCGGAGGTTCCTGTTTTCGGCAGTAGCACATATCGCCGCCATATCGATGCTGAATCTAACTTACCTGGCGGTCATTCGATGATGGCACTGGTTTGTTTGGCGCGTGGCATGTACTTTGGCATATTCATGACAGGAAATCACGGGGAATCTGTACATGGCATCATGTCAGGGTTTCTTTGGAAGCCATACCAGCACATGTTTGTTGCACCCTAGGCCTATCGCCCGTTGACCATGCACAACGCCCTTCTGAAACAAACAGACCCCTAACGCAACTCTGGTGTTTGCAGGATATTTTGTCTGGATACACTGCAGTGGGTATTATGGAACACTGGGACCTGTCTATGCAGCTCTTCAACGCCCGTGTGCGGTCGCCGGTGCGTGATTGGAACATGACTGTGCGCAGCAATGCGGGGTTGCCGTCCGAGCTTCGAGATGAGGTGCTTCAATGGGCTCACGACAGCCCTGTCATTCACCGTTTGATGGCAACAGATCTGCTTTTGTATTCCTTTGCGCTGTCCATTTTCAAGCGTCAGACGACGGAATCACTCGGTACAAACTGGCTCGGCGGCTCATCGAGGTGTTGACGTACTCGTGAATACGTCATTTGCCTGGCGTGGCAGCTGAATCTCTCTTCGAAGTAGAAGGTAGACTCTTGTAGAGTTCTTTCGTCAGCGTTCGCGGTGTAGGGATGGATGCTCTTCGGCCGTAAGTTCGGCATCAGGCGGAGAACATCGAATTTGTCGCTTTGTGTACCCTCTCAGTCATCATAAATCATCAGGTATGACCCAAGAAGCTACGACGGTTGTTTCTCTTGAGTTGAGGTACCGACGGAAACACCGCGACGAATCATCCCTGAATTCCTATCGGACAGGTGTTGCAGGTTTGGCACAGAAATGCACAACGATGGTTGGAGAAAGGCAGTAGACCAGATGGCGTCGTAGTTGGTGCGGAATTATCATTGTTGAATGTTACGTACAGGGCAGGGTGCACAGAGAGCAGGAAATAACGGCGGCATTTAACGCCGGGCACTGCATAAGTCTTTTCGGTGCCTGCAACTTGTATGTGATGTACGGTATCTACCCTCCAACACATTCATTTGCGCGCGCTTGACTGAAGCACCGGAGAAAGAAACAAACAAAAAAAACATCTGAGGGAACTATTGAAAGACACAGGAGGAGTATACACGCCGGCGAAAAAACCAAACCAACTTTCCGCAAGTCCCAGCTTGGGGATCCTCTCTCCTTCTCCCTGATCAGTGAAAAGTGTGAGGTTCGTGGGTAGTGCCTCCCTCCGATCAGCGTAAGGCAGGTGGGCAACGTGTGCGAGATGTTTGATCTGCACACGCAAATCGAACACCAACTCCATGAACTTTGGCAAATAATCGTCCGCCTCAGCAAGCGAACGCGCTGCGGTGTGGCTGCGTACGTGTCGAGGCAAAACAATCAATCACCGACAAAAACAATTGTATCATGTTCCAATCCGATAAGGATTGGTTTCAGCTACGGAAAAAAATATGTACATCTTTTAAGATTTGGTCACTTCTCATCCGTCGGCATATAACAAAATATTGGTGAAATTGAGAGCGAAGCATCTGATTGAGAGCGAAATTGCGCGATGCGCTGCAGCTGAACTACTGCTGAGAGGTTGAGCTTGCTGTGCAGCTTGAATTGAAGGGCTAGCCCGTAGCTACAAGCAGATACCCTGGTCATCCTGTGGGAGTCTCTCGATGTGGAGTTACAGCGGCGAGCAGAAGCTACAGCAGAGCCGACCGCCCAAGGCCAAACCGCCCTGCAACAGTTTGAGGCAGGAACAGCTAATCTGGGGAAATCTAACAACGTGTCTAGCTCCTAGCTGCAGCATCCGATAACGATGACACGCACATGCTCGTGACGCTGCTGATGAGACCTTCAATTTGCGCCGCTTCTTGGAAGAGCCCGCCCCCTACTTCCCCAGAAATGGCAAGAGGCGTCTGGACCCGAATTGTAAATGTTTTGGCTCTCGCTCTCGATTTCATGCTTCGCTCTCAATTTCACCAATTTGTTGTTATATGTCTTTCTTGCCCCAGCAAATCTTTTGTCGCGATTCCTTCTCAGGGGCACGCAGGAGGCTCGTCGGTACATGAACGCTCGTGTCCGGAGCTCGGCAGGCCACCGTGGCGCGTGTGGTTGACGCTCATAATTTCGAAAACTGGCTGAATGCCCAGGGGACGCGTTCCGCGACGATGACGCCTGCCTGACCAATTCGAAACCTCTGTTACACGCCACCGGCTGGGAGATATATCCCCCGTAGGTTCTTGTGAACAAGGCCTCATGAATCGTTTAATTCGTGTCGATGGTTGATATTATGCCTATTCACCATTACAGCAGCATCAAACACTGCGTCTGTCGCTGTGCGGTATTGTTGAGGTGCATGTTCACTACTCACAAAATATATAAGTATGTTGTCGAAGACCGAATAAACTGTAGTTTGTTGATTTGTTTCGAGTCGCTTCATCATTATCTGTTTCTAGATCACCAGGATAGAAAGAGAGAAGGGATAGGAACCGGCGCTGAGAAAACACACAATCCACGCGCCTGATTCCCCCTCATCAACTGTCTCATTCTCTCCGAACGCAAGTTCACTAAATAAATCCAGCCGGTGGAAAACACCGGCTACTACTACTGCACGCAGGGGTCTGGAGTGACCAAGTCCCCAAATGGTACTCGACGATTCAACTACACCCAAGCCGAGGTCTACTCGAGACTACTGCCTACATGCAGCCGGCCATACTACTGCCCACGCGCAGTCAGCCCCTCGTTCCCCACATGGTATCTTCCCCCGGCCGTCTTACGTCGAACCTCGTGTCCCTTTCGTTTGTTTTCGCGACACCGTCCGCGAGTCCTCGACATTTTTCGGGGCATACTGCTGTTTACATCCGACGACCATTTTCCTTCTCTCTGAATCACCCGCTCAGAAATGTCCCCGCCTCCTGCCAACAACGCCGTAGAGCCTCCAATATGTTGCGAATGTAACGCATTGTGTTGGAGGTCTCGCCCGGATTCGGTGGCGACGTTTCGGAGCGCCCTCAGTTGTCTACTGTACTTCATCACTTGCACCGCCTCCAACAACATATTCGCATGATTGAGAGCCAAGTACCTGATTGAGAACGAGATCGTGCGATACGATGTAGCTTGTCTACTGCTGAGAGGTAGAGCTTGCTGTGTGGCTTGAATTGAAGGGCTTGCCCATAGCTACAAGCCTATACCCGGGTCATCCTGCGGGTGTCTCGCGTTGTGGAGCTACACCGCGGAGCAGAAGCTATGGGAGGGTTTACCGCGCCAGGCGACGGCGCCCTGAAACAGTTTCGGGCAGGAATAGCCAATCTGGGGAAATCTAGCAACGTGCGTAGCTCCTCGCTGCTGCAGCCGATCGCAGTGACACGCATATGCACGCGAAGCTGCTGAAGAGAGCTTCAATTTGCGCCGCTTTTTGGAAGAGCCCGTCCCCTGCTTCCCGAGAAATGACGGGAGGCGTCTGGACCCGAATTTCGTTTTTTTTTGGTTCTCGCTCTCAATCGGAAACATCGCTCTCAATCGTGCGAAAACCCTGTTCTCCCGGTTCTCCGCGGAAAGACGATAGTGGTGCGGAGTCGGACAACGTCGCATGACACGATAACAGCTCCACTACAAGAGCGCCTGCCCCGCCACTCGCTCTTTTCCCCGACTGCGTTCCCCTATCTTGATCCCGCGTCTGTGCACGAATGTCCCCTCTCCCATCCTGAGTACCATTGTTGCCACGAAAACGCAACTGCAGCCGATCAGCCTTGCGGTAGTTGCGGAAGTCTAGTTGCTCGTTGCCTAAAATTGAGCTACGTCCCCCCGTGTGAGCCAATGAGATGCGTGTGCTACGCCAGCGTCGTTGGCGACAACCTCGTCAGACCGAATATTGAAGGAGAAACTGAGACCAAGACACAGCCACATGACCCGTCCACCTGCTCCCCAACCCGGGACCCTGCATTCCGCGTCACGCAGCATGCCCCAGGATATTGGTAAACGCACACAATGCGGGGTTCTAGAGCTACATGATTCCTTGCGATCCCCCGCAATGCACGTTTTAGCAACGGCGACGAGATGTCCAGCTCCACAGACGCGTTCTCCCTGTGGTGAAACTGTACCGCTGCTAGCTTCCCTGAAATCGTACTAACGGTGTTGCTCCCTACCTCAAAGCACCATGCAGAAAAATCAATCAGCTCCCATACCCTGCGGTCTTTGTAGATGCCAGCGTGGAAAACACGCGGTTTGCCTGTCATCCCTCGAAACGTGCACCAAGACTTGAAACCCGACGCGTAAGTCCATGCGCCAGTACTTCCCCGTCTCCGAACAGTGACCACCCATCGCNCACAGACGCGTTCTCCCTGTGGTGAAACTGTACCGCTGCTAGCTTCCCTGAAATCGTACTAACGGTGTTGCTCCCTACCTCAAAGCACCATGCAGAAAAATCAATCAGCTCCCATACCCTGCGGTCTTTGTAGATGCCAGCGTGGAAAACACGCGGTTTGCCTGTCATCCCTCGAAACGTGCACCAAGACTTGAAACCCGACGCGTAAGTCCATGCGCCAGTACTTCCCCGTCTCCGAACAGTGACCACCCATCGCGTCCCCGCTAGCGTCGCTCCACAACGTACGAACATGTGGTTGCAAGTAAAGCTGTACAACGGCATGGCTACCCTCCCTTGCTTGTCAGCGCCCAGCCTCAACCATGACATGCCAAAACGACACGTCCGAACGGAACTCTGGGCCCAGCATAACGATGATCCGATTCGAGCTGTGCGGACCGCACCCGGAGCGATGCAGCAGTTTCTCGTCCCACGGCTGGCCTGGCGGCAATCCCAACTGATTGAGCATCCGACGAACAAAGAATTTCCCGGGACGGACTACCTAGCAAATGTGGAGAAGCTTGCCCATGAGTGGCCGCACTTCGTTTTCTTGGGCTGTACTACGGACCAACCAATTGGACAGAACATCGTGAACCCGGAGGAGTTTCGTGTGGGGCACAGAGATCGACCAGGCGTGACAGCGAAGCAACTGACAATAACATCGGCGTGTGTGCGCATCAGCTACCAGTATCAGGAATGAATACCGACGGTCATGGGCTCAACAGCGTATGCCATCAACCAAAAATCGTAATACCGTGAGCGCAACTGCATGTAAAACAGCTGCATAACGGCGTGTAGCAGCCAATGCGGCGTACCGACAAAGCAGCTGACCACAACACCGGCATTTGTGTACCGTCTTCTGTAGGAACACAGCATATTACTGCTGAAGGGTGTGTGTAGTAGAATAGATGCAGCTGTATGATTGCTGTATTAGGAAACATGAACACACAGAAAGACTAGACGTTCGAGATAAGACCACAGTCGAATGGGATGTGTTGGAGTCTTTACAGTGAATGGAAGGAAACCGGCTGGGTACTGGGCTTTGGAGTCTATTTAAGCCTGTTACACACTAAAACATATCCGATGAGTGATGCCAGTAGGTGCTCATCACAAAACCACTGTATAGATACAAATACCACAAGACATCTCCCGCGTAGTGTTTCCTTTCGAC